TAGAAAATGATCAAGAATAAAAGAAGGTTAAAAGAGCTTAAAAATTAAATATTTTTATTAATGTATACATCAATTAAAAAATAATATTTAATGAATAAATTATAACAAATTAATTATTTAAATTATCAGCATAATATTTTTTAAATTCAATTATCAAAATAATATTTTTAATGACCAACTTGTTACTTTTGAAATTGTAGTGGAAAAAATGAAAAATTATTGAAAGATTAGCATTTATGTATTTTAACCTTTTAATTTATTTCCAACCCTCGCTTGAGAGGTGAAGGACAGGTTAAAAGCAGTAATGGCAGTAGTTGTACGCTATACAATACAAGCCTAATAAAGCAAGCCCAATACAACGAGCGTAAAAAATAATCATCCCCTCTCGCTCTCCATTAGATTTTAATCTGTCTCTCTCTCTCTCTCATTTTTCCTTTTTCTTATTATAATATTTCTAATTCCGGCTTCGATTCTCCTTTGTTCATACAATAACCGCCTCATTTCCCCAGGTAATTATATATTTTTTGGATTTTCGAATCATTTATTTGAACTTTTTTATGAATTTCGTTATTGTAAGATCGATCTCCTCTTGGATTGATTTTTTCTGGTTTAATTAGGGAGAGATCCTGGTTTAGACGTCGACTTGTTTAATTGATCAACATATTAGTCATTCGATGAATATATCAATTTTCTCTGTTAATTAATTTGTAATGATTTTGGTAATTCCGATCCAAAAGTTCACACTATTTATATTTTATAAGTAAAGAAAATGAGAATTGGAACCCTAAAGTAGACCTTTTATTTAGGTTAAACTCTTTGTTTTAATATCAATTATCGTTAATTAAACTCAACTTAGGAATATTAATGCAAATGTATGTAGCTTTTGTTGAGTTATACTCGTGATTCTTGATTCTGAACTAGTCAAATTCATTAATTGATTTTGAGGTTTTGATGACTATATAATTTCACTGGATCGTTATTCCTTTAATAAGCTGATTTGATTGCTTATCTTTAGGTAGAGGATTTTAGTCAAATGATTGTGGAATATATTGTATAGTCTCTATTTGATTATTTGCTCATATTTTCTCTGTTTTGTGTCAGTGAATATTTTTAATTTTAAAGTCGAAGGAACAAAACAGAGGTTGGGGTTTTTCATTGGTTGTGGCTGAGACTGCTTTTAGGTTTCTAGATGGCAGAAAAATCGTGTATTAAGCGCCTTCAGAAAGAATATAGATCACTTTGTAAGGTATTGTTTTCTCTTTGTATTATTTCCATCTATTCCTTCTATTGTTACTCTTTATATATGGTGCCTAAGAAATGCTTGGATGTTGTAGAAATCTTGTTAGTGTTACCTAGTTAAACTTTCATGTTAGTGCAATTTTCTGATCATTACTGTGTGGTTTATAAGCTTATTTTTTTAGTACAAGGAAAATGTCATCTCTGGTATCCTGTCTATGAGGCTTGTTAATGCAGAATTTTCTTCAATAGCAAATGGACTGGAAATTTAGTTTTGTACAAAATCGTAGTCTATATTGTTTGTTTTCATTGGGTTATCAACCAACAATTCAGCATTATGTTTAATTTCATTTGAAAAATACAAAATGTTAGATATATTTTCTCTCCCTGCACTAATAATTTGGTATTATTAAAAGTATATTGGTGCTAGAATGATTGTTGTTATTGGTATAACGTCTTTTTTCCCCAGATATTTTAACAGTTTCTATGAACTTATAGGAACCAGTTTCTCATGTTGTTGCTCGTCCATCCCCAAGTGACATTCTTGAGTGGCGTAAGTTTATGAAATCTTTTTTATTCCCTTTCTCTGGATAAAGCTCTATCACAGACTAATACTAATGTCAAAACATCTTCTATAACGAGGAATTTGCTAACTATCCTAAGATTTTATCCTTATAAGATAAGAAAATGATTGTTTTTATGTTGTCTATTGAATTTAAGAGTGATTCATGGAAGGAATTAACCTGACTGTTGGCTAATTATATATAGGGATCTCAGTTGAGATTCAAATTTATAAAGCTTCCTGCTAGCTAAGTTCTGGACTGTAAATGTGTGATTGAGTGTGCAAAAGACACTTGTTCATTTAGCAGACTTCTGGAATAATTTACAGTGAACTAGAATCCAATCTCTATTGCCTTGAAGGAATTGGAAGTTGACCTTAATTTGTTTAGTTATTTTTTCTTGGTCTTCCAAGTAAGGATGAGTTCTAATATTATAGTGATCAGTACATGGCATGTTATCCTTCTACTTATGAAGTTCATTGATAAAATTGGCTATTTTCCTAGTTATTCCTAATGTTGGACTTGTAATCTAATTCTAAGCTTCTCTGGTCTTTTTATATTGAGTTAAGATTCCAGCAGCGATTGATTATAATTGGACTAGTATGAGTTTTATCCAAGTAATAGTGTGGATGTAGTAGATTTTATGGACTTCATTTAATTTTTCTGCTTCACTCTTTCAGATTATGTGCTGGAAGGGAGTGAAGGAACACCTTTTGCAGGTTGGCTCGTTTATCCCATGATAGCTTGTAATTAATTTTATCTAACTCATTGTAGAATCTGGAAGTAGCTATCTGATACTGCTATCTGGTGTTCCTTTTTCTTTTTTTGGTTCTAAGATGGGTATTACTATGGAAAGATCAAGTTCCCTCCTGAGTATCCCTACAAACCTCCTGGAATCACGTATGTAGTTTCTTGCTGTTTTAACCTTTCAAAATTTATGATAGAAAACACAGCTTTCCGTGACGTCAAATTAAAATTTTCTTTCATGTAGAATGATCACCCCCAATGGACGATTTATGACACAGAAGAAAATATGCTTGTCCATGAGTGATTGTAAGTTTTTTGAAGAGTAACTTAGATATTCCAGTTTATTTGTATCTCTAATAACTGATTTCATTTTAACTTTGCACATGTTCTTTTTCAGTTCATCCAGAAAGTTGGAACCCTATGTGGTCTGTATCAAGGTACAAGACTTCAGTCTAATTGCACCTTTTTTTGGAACCTTTCGAGCGCCTTTATTGTCATAGGGTGGTGTTGACTGTTGACATGTGAAACAATTGCCAAAGATTGCTAACTTCTTTTTTGTTTTATTGTGCAGCATACTCACAGGGCTTCTGTCTTTCATGGTGAAACTTGGGAGTCTTTGTTGTGTCCTAATTGATTTAAATTGCAGTTTTGATAAGCTGCAGTACTTCTTGATTGCGTTTGGAATGTGTCCTTAAGCTAAACTGCCTTTTTCTTGTGCAGATGGATAACAGTCCTACCACTGGCAGCGTAAACACTACCGCTGCCGTGAAGCAACGCCTGGCAAAGACATCCCTTTCTTTTAATTGTAAAAAGTAAGTTTATTTCTTCACATTTACCGGATTCCTTATCTTTCTTGTTTTGAGAACTAGGGCTCTTCAAATCAGTTTCACCCATTTTCTGCTACTATGATTAATTGATTATGCTTTTGCTGCTGTGAATTGTCTTCATGTTGAAGCTAAATTTCTTAGCATTGGCTGGATTCTTGTCAGCTAACAGTTAAACATCACTAAACTTTTTGTGGACATATCTTTCCAAATTGAGAATTACAACCTAGGTCTTTCTATGGCAGCCCGACATTCAGAAAATTGTTTCCAGAGTATGTCGATAAGTACAACAAGCAGCAACAACTTGCGCCTGAGGATTCTTCCGCAGAGTCACCTCAAGGAGATAACCCTAGACCCGAGATAGAAAAACTAGTCAACTCTTCAGGGGAAGATGTTAAAAAGGTGGATAAGCCGCTGGATACAAGAAACAGAAAACAGCCGTTCCCAACATGGATGATGTTGTTGCTGTTTTCCATCTTCGGAATCGTGATGGCGTTGCCACTGCTTCAACTTTAATGTCCTGGGCACAAGATGGCAAAATTCCATTATGGTTAGTGATAATACAGTGTGTCTAGTTGAGGGAATCCATTTCAATGCCTCCTTAGGTTTGTCATGTTGGTAGAAAGAATGTATAGGAGAGTTTTGATAAGATTCGGAGTTAAGATGGATGTTGACTGATTATGTATCCGATGTTAAAAGCTCATGTTGGTAATTTTAACTATTGAGTTTGAAATATAACGTGCTTGTAATGTTGTTCCGTATTTTTTTTTGGGTTAAATCCTGTTTTGGATCATAACATGGGCAATGTAAAACTGTATTAGGGTGGTAATGGACGAGACGAGGTCGAACATTATTTGATTCACAGGTCGTGCATACGAACGTTGACAACATCTGTTTCTTCCTCTACTAGTTATAACTAGTAACTATAATTATAAAAAAAACCCAAAAACTATTTGAAAAAATATAATCAGAATTTTAAGTATACATAATGTACATTTGAATAGTTATCATATGAATTAATTATTACAAAGTGTAATTAAACTGACAATCAAAATATATTTCAACTTAAATCAGAATAGATCTGAATATATGGTTCAATTTAAATCAGAACAAAATCTGAGCTTTACCATTAAATCAGGAACTCGTTAACTATTAATTGGCCGCTGACTATGCTAACGTGGGATCATCAATTTTGAACTTTCCCCTTGCTCACGCTTTTCACTAATAAAATTCCTGTGAACTTTCAGCTGAAAGTGAATAATGGGAACCTGTGTCAGAAATCACCTCAGTTAAAAACTCGGATTCACCTAGCTATCTACCCCCACTGCCGTACTTCTACATATACCAAATATACATTAAAAAAAAGGGGGTTAAAAACTCGGATTTAATCTCATCGATATATTCGAATCTTAATATCTGTATTCCTTTTCCTATCTTGGTTTACAGGCCTTTGTATATGAATACATTATATATGTAAAAGCTTATGCCATTTCAACTAACAAAAACTGTTTTCAGTTTCCATTAATCTCCAATATAGGGGTTTGATGGGGTTTCAAGTTTGGTGGTCGGCCCCTTGCCTTTGTTGAAATCATTCCAGTGCTTGGGGTTCAAGAAATATCCATTTCCCTCATTTATGATCTAAATCAACCATTGCCCCTTTTCTTTTGCTTCTTTATTACTTCTCTGTTGGCTTATCTTTCGTTTATGCTACAACTTGATGTTTATAACTTCCAGGAAACCATGAGCAAATCTCCTACAAGTCCGAAACACGAGACGAACGGTTGTTCTTGCTGTGAATTTGATCCCCGGGTGAACTTTTCACAGGTAAATACACAAACCCTTTTTTTTAAGTTTTTGATCATGTTGCTTCAAAACCAGAAGTACAGTATCTTCAGCCGATTATGGCATTGGCATGTGTTAGTTTATCTGGTTTTTGGATTTTGAACCCTTTTTTTATCAGTTTCTAGAAGAAGCAAGACAGCATGCAAGAGACATAAACTTGCGGCGGTCATCTTCATATTCCGAAACAAGATTAGGGGCTGAGAAAAAAAGCAAGAAATCATGGAGAAACTCACTTTTCTCATGGTGCAAAATTGACAGAAAGAGCAAGTTCCGTTCGGATCCTATCCATGTTTCTAATAAACATTACGGTTCGTGTGGAACCACCAAGGGAATCGAAACACCGCATCGATGTCCATTGTCGGGGCCGGTCTCAGTCCTTTTCACTCCTGCAAGGAAGATGGAGAATGAGGTGTCATACATGAGTCTCGACCAGTCTAACAACCCTGATCATGTCAACTCCTATGGACCTGTCTATTTGGTGACATAGTGTATCAATGATAGGGTATATGAGATGGGGCAAAAACTGGGGAACTTTGTAACATTTAATGAGGTGAGTAATTGGATCTATCAATATTCTGAATCTCAAATCTGGCACATACATGGTGGGACATTTGACAGATAGGGTTTTGTGAGTTGCAACTAGAACCAGCTCTCCTAGAATTAATTTGAACCATAAGTGATTCATGTAGTCAATGAAATTCAAATTCCATTTATAAAAAATGATAGTAAAATGAGTTGGAAGTGATTTCTTTTTATTTAGTTAAAGGCTTTAAAGGACTTATATCAAATTATTAATTTTGAAAGGGGCTAATCTAGAATATTACCACATTATTCAAGGGGTAGGCTTATATTGCTTGCATTAAGAACACATCAGTCATCAAATGAAAGTTGTTAAAGCTCTAGATACCATGCATAATTTTTTCAAGTCCCTGAACATTTTGAACTTTTGAAATTCATCCCTCTGCTTTTAATTATAGAAATTCAATCCTCTACTTATCCAATTTGTAGGAAGTACATGAATAAAAGTTTCAGAAAGAACATGACCTGTAGAAAGAATGGTTTTGTGCAGACTACCGTGTAATTTGTAGACAAAAACACGTGAACAAAAAGAATATTATATACGGTCAGGGTATTGCCCTGCTCTGCCCCCGAAGAAGAACTAGAACCCATCGTGGTATTACATTGCAGCCGTAATGCAGCGTAATAACGGCATCAGAATGTTTTTAAAGTCATCGTGACACTAATCACATCCACGATATAAAAATATAGTTACTTTTAAGAAACAAAACACGCCTGTAAATCTGTAACGCCACGACCTCAATTTAGTACTATGCATAGAGAATGAATTTAAGATTTTCCGGCTGCAATGCTGAGCTAACTTCACTAAACATACCCGATACTCTCACAAAACGCCAATGTAAGCTCCGACGACAGTGGGTTTTCGATCCATTTCCCGACCCTTTTGGCCAAAGAAACCATGGAAGAAACGATAAAGCACCGTTCAGGGGCGACGTTAACCCTGCAGATAGGGCAAGTCGTGTCAACTTTAAGCCATGCATCGATGCAGGAAGCTTGGAAACCATGTCGACACCTTAGCCACCGGAGCTTTTCCCCTTCGGAAACCTTACTAATGCACACTACGCAGTATTCAACTTAATGGCCGATACTCGCAAACCAGTCGTTATAAACGTGAAAGCAGCCGGCGGCGAAGAAAGCCGTCGAAACCGAGATTTCCGAGAGCATATGTTTGGTTTATGTCACGTGTATTTTGTTTTTTGCTATGGGAAAATGGAAGGGCGTTGAATCGAGTTTTATGGTTGCATTTGTTGGACTGGTAATTAAGCAAGGTGGTGGCATGGAGCTGCTGCTGCCGTGTCAGGCTTTGACGCATTCTTTTGTCCGTTATCAACGACGTGGGATAGATTTTCACTCAAAGAAACTAATTGTCGTTAAATCAAAATTTTGTCGTTATTTTCAATAACATATTAGATATATGGTGGTGTGAATATAACCCAACCCACCAAATATCCAGACCCAATGGAGGGTTTCACCCACAAGTGGGAAAATAAGTCGATCGTTATCCAAAACCCAGCGTCAGAGTAGTACTAGTGTGCATCTCCTGTGTGGTTCTCTCTGTATCTCAAATTCGTATTTCTTCCCCTGAGACTATTTCTATCCTTTTCTTTTTCCTGAGTTGCTGGAATGTCTCCTTCAAGCTTTTTTAATTAAACTTTTTTGAGATAAGATTCCAAGTTCTGATTCTTTGGGCTGAATGAGCTCCCATGCCTTTACTAGGTATGCTTTTTTTGCTTACCTTAGTTCAAGATTTTACTACTTTGGATACGTAAAGAAGAATTTAGCGAAAATTTACATGTTTAGATTCAATTTGTAGTTGTTGAATTTGAATTAATTTTATGGAGTTTGTGTGGTCAGGGCGTTTAAAATTCCTGGTGTCTTTCTTTAGTTTTCCCTGCTCTGGTTCTTTTATGTTCAGAACAACTCTTGCTTTACAATTCCAACTTCCAAATTTGATTTTCTCTTGGTGTTTGTGATTTTCTTTCACTGAAAATTAACCATGAGCATGTTTATTGTTATGTTTGGTTGCCTGAAACAGATATTGCCACGGCTAAACCTTCCTTGCAAAGCCCTCTGGTTCCAGTGAGGGTTCAAGTTTTGTCAAATCAATGGAAATCCTCCCCATTTCCTAGGAGAAGCAATTTTCATTTGGGGCACCAGGAGAGCCACTGTGGAAAACTCCAGGTTAGAGCTGTTGCAACCCTCGAGCCAAAGTGCTCGATTCCAAAACAAGACGGACTCAACAATAAGTTACAGCTCGTTGGAGATTCAAGCCCTTCATCGACTCAGCCCGAACCTTTGGAGACTGGAGACTCGGATGATGAATTGGACGAGAGGGAAAAGTTAAGGCGGATGAGGATTTCTAAAGCAAATAAAGGGAACACACCTTGGAACAAAGGCAGGAAGCACAGTGCAGGTAATTTCCATTAAATTCTGGTTCATTTTTCTTTCGTGCATTGTTGATTTGTTACCATGTTAACACAAATGTCTTTATTTCTATCTGCAGAGACGCTTCAGCGGATAAGGGAGAGAACAAGGCTTGCAATGCAGAGCCCTAAGGTGATGTCATGTAAGAAATTTTTATGTTATCACGGGGATTGATATTTGTGTGTTTTATGTTTGCATGGGGTAATCAATCACATCTATTAATTCATCGAAACCGGTCCATGTAGTTCTTTTTTTTCCCATCATAATTTCATTAGGATGAATGATGTACTAATGACGATTCAGATTGTGGAAACTAGTTAAGCAAAGAAGCCAATAAAGCAAACAATCAAGTGCATACTGTTTCAGTGTCGTCTGAACTCACACTTATGTGGAAATCAAGGGTGCTATCTTTTGAATAAGGAGATTGCCTTACATCAATTGATATTTTCTTTATCTCGTATGTATATACATTTAAATGGAATAACATAATAGTTTATTGACTCGTAAAAATTTCGAAATGCAGGTTAAAATGAAGTTGGTTAACCTTGGACATGCTCAGAGGTGGGTGCTTCACTATATATATATATATTGACCTTGTTAATGTCTAAACTGATTGTTTTCATAATGATCCTACAGCGAAGAGACGAGAGTGAAAATTGGAGTGGGAGTCCGAATGGGATGGGAAAGGCGTCGTGGGAAGTTAATGTTGCAGGAAACTTGCCACTTTGAGTGGATGAACTTGATTGCCGAAGCATCTAGAAAAGGCTATTGTGGCGAGGAAGAGCTTCAGTGGGATTCTTATAAGATACTAGATGAGCAGTTGACAAAGGAGTGGCTGGAAAGTGTTGAACAAAGGAAATTGATGCCTAGACCGAAAGGGAGCAAGAGAGCACCAAAATCCCTTGAACAAAGAAGGAAAATTGCAGAAGCCATTGCTGCCAAATGGGCCGATCCAGTAAGTGCTTGCACTTTTCTTTTCTCCACATCAGCGGTGAAAATTATGGCATTGATCAGAGGCATCTACAGACTGTATTATTCCAATGCCGCTTCATAGATTTTAAAGCTTTGCATCTTAATGTGGGTGTTCTGTTTCTTGTTATTTGCTGAATAGGAATACCGTGAGAGAGTTTGCTCTGGGTTGGCTAAATTTCATGGCATTCCATCTGAGGCTGAAAGAAAACCGAAGAGGAAGCCAACAAGTGGTACACAATGCAAACAGATCCCTTTGAAACGGAAAGCTAGCGATACAATCGATTCTTCTGCTAGTGAGACTATAAGCCCAATCGAGCTGATAAGGATACGAAGACGAAATAAATCACTTTACAAGGATCCTATGGCAAATTCCAAGCTCGAGATGTTGAAGAACATACGAGCACAAAGAGCAGCTGAAGAAACAAAGAAAACTGAAGCTGTTGAAAGAGCAAGGTTAGTCTTTTCTTATGTTCCACAAGCGTATTGCATTAATGTTAATATGCTATCGATGCCACTTCGATAATTCCGTTAAATCATTCCCATCCATCATCTTCCATCATTTTTAGTATGCTATTGCTAATTCACTGGATAATTTTGTGCTTGCATATATGACACTGCAGACTTTTAATTGCTGAAGCTGAGGAGGCTGCAAAGGCCCTCGAGGTCGCTGCAATTAAGAGCCCTGTTGCTCAAGCTTCCCTTGTTGAAACCAGAAAACTTATAGCCGAAGCAATTCGATCAATTGAATCGATAGAGATCGGACAAATTGCATCCAACGAGAACACCAGATACATTTCTGTCGACTCGGTTGAACCGGTTAGCCAGGTGGAAAACAAAATGCAAATAGGAAACATCCGTTCAAACGAAGCTGAACCGAAAGAAGTAAACGGGAACCAATCCCTTTCATTTAGCAAGCATGAGGAGTTTAATCTCCCTAGCTTCATTTTCCCAAAGATGGTGAATGGCGATAGCGATGTACAACTTGCTTCTTCGAATAACCATAGTTCATCGACTCTTGGCTTCGATACTTTGATCAAGTCGGATTCATCTAAGCAACACAACCCATTGGAAACAAACGGGGCCATCGAACACGAGAAGAATCCTCCGGTAAATGGAACCAAAGTTCAGTTGAAGGATTATGGTGTGCCTTCTATAGCAGTCGCTGTAACCAAGAAATGGGTTCGTGGTAAGCTTGTTGAAGTCACTGAAGAAGTTTCGTAAGGACCATGAACGTCTACACAACAGATCTTCATATGACCCTCAACATGGATTAGGTATTATTATGTAAAATAGGTCAAATTTTGTTTGTAGTCCTTGTACTAAACATAAGTTGTGTATTTAGTTCATTTATTTTAACTTGGTCAATCTTAATAATATGTTTTTTCGGATTTTGAAATTTCAATCATAACCTTTTATGGATAAATTAAATAAATTATAGTGACCTAAAAGCATCAAATTGGAGAATATAAATTAAAATTATAACTTGGTCATAATATAATGACTAGTGGAATCTATTTAAACGGATTTTACGATTAATATTTAATTCAAGAGTAACAACTAAAAAGTATAATGATTAAAAATAATTAAATTAAATTATATGAGCTAAATTCTTAATTTATATATAGTAAAAAGACTAATAAAATAATTTAATTGACTTTAGATGTCACTATCCACGTGTATAGAGCAATGCTGCCACCTGTCGTTTTAGCTACTTGGCAATATCTCATGGTGTGAGGGAACAATACGATGTCGTTTCCATGTTGGAAAATATCAGATCGTGGCCGGTGGTGAGTCGGTTTTTCACCGATTATTCCTTTCTTCCCCAACCTGCGCCACCTCCAACTCCACTCGGAATAAAATTTCTCAAATCTTTGTCAATCAAATCCCTAAATAATAAACAAATAAACCCCGAAAACCCAGATTTTCATTTTCTCAAGTCCCGAGTTTTCATCACGGACTCAGTCATTCACTCACTCCTCCACTCGCTCGCTTACTCCTAATCTAACAATGGACCGGTATTCATCCGAAGAAGAGGAAGGCAGTCACAAATTAACCCACCAAAACGACATTCCAAGATCCAGTTTCCATGTCGAAGAGCAAGAACCGCAAATGCGACGTCGTCCCAAGTTCGCCTTCAACAAAGCTTATCTCTTCGCCCTCGTGCTCCCTTTCCTCATCGTCTTAATCTACTTCTCCGCCGATATCGGCTCTCTTTTCACTTCTGACATCTCCTCCTTCAAATTCAATACGGTGTCGGATCGAACCAGAGAATCCCAGCTCCAAGCTCTTCACTTGTTGAACCAACAGCAAAGCTCTCTTCTTTCTCTCTGGAATCATACTTTCGTTAGCTCTAATAAAAACATCACAGCCGTCCAATTTGATGATATCAAGGCCGCATTACTCACTCAGATCACGTTAAACAAACACATCCAGCAAACCCTTTTGTCCCCTTACAAAACGGGGAACACCCTTCAAAACGGCACCGCTTTGGATTACAAATCCGCCGGGTACGGTTTCCAGAGTTGCAGAAAAGTCAACCAGAGATTTTCTGAAAGAAGAACAATCGAATGGAGACCAAACCCCAATAAATTCTTGTTCCCGATTTGCTTGTCGGGTAAGATGAGCAATCATTTGATTTGTTTAGAGAAACACATGTTTTTCGCGGCGGTTTTGAATCGGGCATTGGTGATTCCGAGTTCGAGATTCGATTATCAGTACAACCGAGTTCTGGATATCGAGCACATTAACGATTGTATTGGGGGAAAAGCTGTTGTTCCATTCGAAGAATTCGTGAAAATGAGGAAGCATGGCGCTCACATTGATAAATTCATTTGCTATTTTTCGAGCCCGCGGCCGTGTTACATTGACGAAGAGCATTTGAAGAAGCTGAAGTCTTTGGGAATTTCGATGGGGAAATTGGATGCTGCTTGGAAGAATGAGGACGTTAAGAATCCGAGTCGAAAGACGGTTAAGGATGTGGAGGAGAAGTTTGGTTCTAATGATGATGTGCTTGCAATAGGGGATGTTTATTTTGCGGATGTGGAGAGAGATTGGGTGTTGCAACCGGGCGGTCCGATTGCGCATAAGTGTAAGGCATTGATAGAGCCGAGTAAGCTTATCTTGTTGACTGCTGAACGGTTCATTCAGACGTATTTGGGCCGCAATTTTATCGCTCTTCATTTCCGGCGTCATGGCTTCTTGAAGTTCTGGTATGTTTTTCAATTTTGTTGCGAGTTCTTGCCTAGGAAATTATGAATCTTTACTTCTAAGCAATAGTAACATGCTAGAGAATAGAAAGTAGAACATTAAAATGATGTTTAAGTGTTGTTTTCCGGTATGGAGTATTAAGAGTCTATAGGCTTCGATTACGAAGTGTTCAAAAGTTCGCTCGAGCACAGAAGAATCTGTCCATACTTATTTAGAATTTCCACCGAGTCGAAAGGGTTGTGCTCATGATTGGTGTTGGTTTGTGTAAACTGCCTCTAACATTTGCTTTCTTTTTTCCCAGCAATGCTAAAAAGCCGAGCTGCTTTTACCCTATTCCTCAAGTTGCGGATTGCATTACTCGAATGGTTGAAAAAGCCAGCACTCCGGTTATATATCTTTCAACAGACGCAGCAGAAAGCGAAACCGGTTTGCTACAATCGATGATTGTGCTGAATGGGAAGATTATACCACTGGTTAAACGGCCTCCTCGTAATTCAGCTGAAAAATGGGATGCCTTGTTATACAGACACGGCCTCGAAGGTGATCATCAGGTGAGAGTTCGATACTACTTTAATGTTTGTAGGGAGAACCATATGAGTTGCTCTGTTTTTTAAACGATCCCGTATTCTATTCTACTCAACCGTTAGAAACTTAGAATAGTTACTGTGAAAGACTCTAAGCCTAAACCCTTATGAGTTCATGATTTTCTATATTTTGGGTCCAATTTGTTAATTACTTGCAGGTTGACTCGGTTACAAAGAGTTCTGTGAATCAATGATCAGGCACACGAACTGCATTTAACATTACTAATCCATGTCGATGCTATTTCATTTAGATCAATCTAAAATTTGCACGTAATCTTCGAATTGAAGGTGGAAGCAATGCTGGATAAGACCATCTGTGCTATGGCAAGTGTGTTCATCGGAGCCCCCGGTTCAGCTTTCACGGAGGACATTTTACGGCTCCGAAAAGACTGGGGAACTGCATCTTTATGTGATGAGTACTTATGCCAGGGTGAAGACCCAAACTTCATCTCAGGTGAGGAGTGAAGAATATGCAGAAATGGCCCCATCTCCCTGACATAACATTATATATAGTGTATCATATGAGCAATTAAGTGACTACTCATTAATTTTACAACATTCTTAGTGTGTCATGAATTTAACCCCCCAAACCTGAATTCTTTTATTGACTTTGTAAATTACAATCTATCAGTTTAACTAGTTAATTTGGCAATTTTTCCTAATTTAGTCATTAGATTAAGCTTGGTTTTTTTTTGTGATTTTGATGTAACACCCTTCGAGTGTCTTGTAATCAAACTAAAATGGTAAAATTTTCAAAATCTAGGAATTAATTTGGACAATTTCAGGGACTAAATTGAAAAAAAGTTATCAAGTTGAAACCTTTTTAATATTTTGAGATAAAGAGACTATCAAGCACATGAATTGTCAATATAGTCTTTTTTTTTTCTTTGTGCAAATAGAAGCCATTAGTTTTACTAAAAAAAATGATCATATAAAGACCACAATGAACAATCAATTGTTGTTGGAAACCTTTGAATATTCACATCCCTTTGCAATACCTATTTGATTCTTTAATCACAGCCATCATAAGTTCTTAAAGCATATGTAGTTGGAAGATAACATTGAAGGGAATATAATGAGAGCCATATTGGTGGTGTTCCCAATTAAAGGGAAGAAGTGGTGCTATATCAGATGGTCATCAGCTGCCAATACTCCTTCCATTCACCATAATTTTGGTTTTGTTAAATATAGCATATAGGTTCTGCCAATTGAAATGCTACATTCTTGTTCATAACACCAAACCAATAAATACAAAACAAGCCTTTCATATTCTATTTTCCTTTCATTTTGCAATAGCTTTCCGCTGAGCCTGGTTTACCTAGCATTGCCTTTGATGTTTCTGGTGTTTTAAGATCGGCGGAGTTGTGTAGTTGATCAAAATTAAAATAAATTCTCAATCAGATAGTATACAATAAAACAACAAATTCTGTTAAAATTAAGTGAAAAACAATTGGGGATGTAGCTCAAATGGTAGAGCGCTCGCTTTGCATGCGAGAGGTACAGGGTTCGATCCCCTGCATCTCCAAGTGGCCATATTCTTTTTCTTACTGGAGAAGATCAAATGGATGCCGTATCTGGAAGCATTGGTTTTTTTTTTACATCTCATTCCCGTCGATGTTTCCACGTTAAAAGAGGAATGTCGGATCATCTGCTCTCGGTTTCAAGGCTATGCTTAGTTGTGTATCCGACACACCTCGTATTTTCATTTCATCTTCTATATGCATTTGAATGTTGTTTTATTTCTCCCATGGTTTTTGTTACAGAAGAATAAGACTTGGATTGGTCTAGAAAAGGGTAGTTTACAAAGCAAGCTACACGGGTATCACTCAGACAGCCAATCCGGCTTTTGTTTAGACAATTGGATTTATTGATTGAATTTAAGAAATGGCTCGACTCGGACTGCAGCTCTTAGCTCGAGTGAAGCCATCCGATATTTTCTTGAAGTCTGTATAACCAAGGATGTTTCCAATGTCCAGGTTCCTTTTTCTCCTCCTTTTCAATGGCTACATGTTTTGGCATAACGGTTCTGTGCATTTTAAAGTGCTTTTGGTTGTGGCTTTGTTCTCGATACGAGTTGCATTTGCCTTGTTAGTTAAACAATACTCGATCCGTATTTCCATAATGTGATATCCCTGTTTTTTGGTGTCTTTCTTGTTGCAGGGAAGCGAGAACGCTTGAAAAGGGAATGAATCTTAGCATAATGATTCCAACTATGGAACCAAGGATTCTTCAGGCAATGGGTAAGCTCATATATGCTTCAATCTTGAGAAACCTGGTATTGAAACAAGTTTCACTTTTACAAAAATAAATTAAGAAATGATTATTATTTTATTCAACGGTTGCCATGTTAAATAAAAGGAGCAAGTACTGTTTGATTCTTACCAGCTTTCAAATGGGAGTAGTCATCATTACAAAAGCCAGACAAGTAAGCCAGAC